AAACTACTGACCATGGAGAAAACTTTAAAGGAAATTGTGTTTAAGGAGATTATCTTAAAAAATAAAAATCTCCCCCAAAGTTCCAAATATGAATTGGTTTTCACAAACCCTTCCCTTTTGTGATTGACTGAATACATCATCTGTGCTAGATGTCCACACTTAATCTTCATGAACGGTAATTGGACTTAATTAGCATCAAAGGAAGAACAGATGCACAGGTGTCATCGTAAAATGGGATTTGTGGGCCTGTGGAAAGAGAGCGCAAGGCAAACCAGACTGTATCTATGAAATTCAGATAACTAGATTGCCAAGAAACAGGTTCCATTTCTTTCTTTTTTAAGCTTTTATTGATTTGCCTGTGCTGCCATGAATGTTTATCAGTCTGTCAACTAGTCCTTCATTATGTAATCTTTTTATTATTTAGGAAATAAAACCTCCTTTAGCATTAAACATAATGAGATAGTCTTCTGGTTTTTTGTTTTGTTTTTTTTTTGAGATAATCTTCTTTATGGGCAACTGTTAAGTTTTAGTAACCTACATATCTTTGGCTCCCTGGGTAAAGGCTTATTGATTTTTCTATTGCCCGCTGTTAATTCTTGACGTTTGGCAGTGGAAGCTCAGCTAGTCTACACAGGGGGGCTCCTTCCACAATCAGCATAATTATTATCGGGTTGTATACTGTGCATGAGGCTACTGGTGCTTACCCTCCTACAACTTTATTAAGCAAAGCTGTTCTTTCATTTCATTGCTGCAACATCTAAGACCATAAACACACCTACAATGATCCTATTCTGAAACCAAGAGTATACACAGTAGGAAGTTACAAAGCAGCTCCTGACAATGGACCTGTCCTAGAACCTGTTCAATGGGATCCTGCTTTACTGGCCCTGTAACCATTGTCATATATAAGCAGAAAGAAGGCACAACTTCCTTCTTAACACTAGCCTCTCTCCCCCTCTCTCCAAGAACTTCTTCAATCTCCTCCCTTTCTTTCAGACTTCAGCAATTCTAGTCACAGTCTCTGTCAGTGGAAATTCACTCCTCCCTTTCTTCTTGTTAATGCTGTTACATTTTAAGATTATCTGAATTAGGTTTTACAATAATACAGCTGAGTGGCAGTCTGCTGAGCAAGCAAGTTGAAACAGGTGGGAAGGGAGCAGGGATCCACCATTAAAAGAATGACAGAACTGTTGAGGATACAACATACAGTAGTTAGAGCCAACTAGGCCCAAGATGGTGGAAAATTCGACTTCCAGTAGACCTTGAGCCTATCACATGCTCATATTAGCCTAATGTGCTGAATGACACACCCACAGGAGCCATGACAGTTCCCAGGCTGACCATAAAAGGCCAAAAAGTGGGCAGGGGCCCAATTCCTGGATATCCCCACTCCTTTCCCAAAATAGTTGGAATAATCCTCCCGTTTGTTAGCATTTGAAATTACTCAGCCTATAAAAACTAACCCCCCTTGCTCCTGGGGCTGCTCTCCCTTCCGAGACAGATCACATTCTCTCTATGGATTGTGTATCTCTCTAAATAAAATTGTTTTCACTTTACTATGGCTAGATCTTGAATTCTTTTCTGCATGAGACAAGAACCTACTCTCCAGTAACAATGTGAGTTGACCAAGGACATCAAAGCTCTGGTCTGGAGTGTTACCCAAAAAACTGGGTTCACCTATTGGTGGGTGTCCAGCCAAAAATAAGCAAAGATTGGGAGAAAGAAGGATTTACTGTTACTTGCAGCAAGTTAGGAGAACACCAAGGATCCTTCCAAAGGCAGTGTCTCCTTGAAGAGCAAAATTGGGGAAGTCTTAAGCTAAGGGTAAATGCATATTCATGAAGGGGCTTCGGTGGTCATGGAGTTCATGCTTTAGTTGAAGTCCTGAGGGTCAGAAAAGATCAACATCATCATCCCTTAGATTTCAGTTCTTCTGGTGGTTGAGCGCCTGAGGGGGGATTTAAATTCTGCAAAAACCACTCAAGACAGTGCTTTAGGCTAGTCTTTACCATTGAAATAGAACTGAGAGGTTCTCAGTTTACAACTGATTTGTTATCTTTGCTGTTGTTGTCTGATAAATTTGTCCTTTTGTTCTCTTAAGATCATTAGTACTGAGACCTGTTCTGGGCAAACATTGTTGCCAGGCTTAAATTACAAAATGGCTTAGGCCAAAAAATGGCTTCTCTTATGTCAAAAAGTCATATTGGGTTCTCTTTCTCCGGGGAGCCCATACCCTATCTCTTTACAGGAGGAGTCACCCACAGAGAAATGGGACAGCCTGAAGAAAGGAGTCCAAGAAAGTGACCAGTAACATACATCCCAAGATGAAGGTAATATTGGTCACTTTGGCCAAGAGCACAGCTTTCTGAAATGTATCCTTTAAACTCTTGGGATGGTGTCTGGTTGAGGACCACACCAGCCACTTGCAGAGCCGGAGATGTTTTAGTCCTTGCCCCATTCAGGCAGGCAGGGATCTCTTTGTAAGCAAGCAAAAGGGTGTCCAGGGGATAAGGGGACAAATAGGAACAATGTTGCGGGTGGGGCAGAAATAAAGGGGGAGCATTGTGGTCCTCCGGGCCTTCAATAAATCTATCAGGGGAATCCAGCATTTGTTGATAGGACTCAGGTCAAGTCTGAGATCAGCTCTAAGAAGTGGTCACCATTGATATACATAATACACTGAATTTAACAAAAGGATTTTCAGCAAAGTCGGTCCTGGCTCCTTTGAATTATGTCATTAATCTAATGACTTTATATTGAGACATTATATAATAATTAGCCTATCTGTATTAAGCTTGTCACTTCCAATTCTTTCATGACTCTGATAGAGGACACCTGGAACTAGCACATCCAATAATCTAATCTTTGGTCCCTAAGTAGCTTGGATTCCTACGCACATACATACTTAGTGATAGCAACAAACTGAGCCTTTAACTTTCTAGATTAACCATTGAGAAACTTCTGGTAGCTCAGCCTTCTCTTCCTTTTTCCCTCTTCTAATTTTCGTGGATATCAATGAAATTCAAACACTGTTTTAACCTTCTTAGGCATATCACTAGATGAGCTTAGCTGTCTATCCAAAAAGCACAATTCTCTAAGGCACCAATTATTAAAGATAGTTTTCAACAAGAAGTATGTCCCAGGCAGAGGTTATGCAAAACAGGTTGATTTAAAATTGTCTGGGGCATGTAGACAGCTGTTAAGGCCAGGGTTTCTGGTCTTTCTGTAATGGTAAAAAAGGGCCCATAAAAAGTGAAGAAGCACTGATGCCCAACCAAATTAATTACCAAATCTGCTCATTCAGTCATTCATTCACTACATTTTTACTGCATGCCTGCCCTGTGAAACATGCTGTGTAGGGCCCTGTCAGGATCTAGATGGAGTGTAATTAACTCAGAGAACACCAAAGACAGCTCATAAATCATGCCCTATAAGGAACAGCTGAAATAATCAGGAATGGTTAGATTGAAATAAGATTCCAGAAGAACATGAGAGTTCTCATGCCTAAATAACTAACCTTTTTTATAGAAGAGATTAGACTTGTTTTGTATAGGACCACATAGAGCTAATATCAAATGGTGGAAATCAGTGGGAAGAAATGGTAACAAGTTGCTATCAGAGCAATCTAAAAACAGAATGAGGACACAACACTGTAAATCAACTGTACTTCAATAAAAAAAAAAAAAAGAATGAACTGTGTGGGGATGAACAAAGTCCTAAGTAGCAATGTTGGTACCCAGGACACTAGACAGACACTGCATCACTGGATATCCCACCCCTAAACAAATAACCTGACTGCTTCAAAGCAAACCATCTATAATTCTATTACCCAAAGGCAATAACTGCTAACATACAGGCATGTTTCCTTCTTTTTCGGTGCTTTTTTTAAAAGTGAAATTGTACTGTACAGATAATTTTCCATTTTTTATTGAAAAATGTTCCTCTGGGCTATTTTGTAGAACACCAGTATTTACCAATGCTTTCTCTAATTGTTGGATATTTAGAGTTTAATGTCAAGAACAGGTGTTCTGGAGACATACTATCTGGTGGTTTGAATCTCACTGTGCTATCTTGGAAAAGTTACTCTTTGTGCCTCAGTTGCCTCTTTCATAAATAGGGATTGTACCTCAGAGTTGTATTAAAGGAGCTAATTCAAGTTAAGGCACTAAGAACAGTGCCTGGCACATAGTATGCACTCAAAAATTTTACCAATTGTAAGTGAAGGCCTAAGAGTTTATGGAGAAAAACTATAAAAGACTTCAAAATGGACCAAAAGATGACTGGGTGTTTTTCATGGAACTTAGAGCTTTGTCTAGCAATCTTGGGGTGAGGGGCTCTGAGTCTTTGAGCTATTTTGTAGCTCTGCAAGTTGTACATAAATGATACTTATCCATAGACTTGCAAATTCCATCTGATGGATAATTGACTTCCTTCCCCTACTGAAAAGTTTTACATTTACTTCTAAATTTCTTTCAACATCCTTGATTCACCTCAAGTGTGATGCTTTGAATTCTCCTTTGAATAGTCCTTTACCAGGTTTCCAATCAGCCCTAAATTAAAAATTCGTGACCCAAACCTAAGACTGTATCCTCTATGCTCCAATGGTTGTATAAATCTCTCTTACAGAACCTATCACGTTTTGCCATCAACATTATTGAACTTTTACTCAGAAATCTAATTCAACTCAACAACTGACGATCTACTCTTAATATACAAGGCATCATACTGTGGTAAAAAGCAGTGCTTGCCATCACATAATTACTTGATCATTGGAGATAAGAGGTAGTCTTTCAACCTTACGATAAGTGTGTTGTGGGGATTAAGAATATTAGTGTTGGTGTCAGACTCAAGCTTCAGTCCGGTTTTGATCCCTTTCTAACTTGGGAAGACGGCAGAAACTGCTTAATCTCTAAGCCTCAGGTTCCTCAGCTATGTAGTGAGGGTAATATCCACAGAAAAGCATCCTGAAACTTTGAAAAAGATAGGAAACATAGCACTTGGCATGTCTGGCATATATATTTTAGAATCCCATCTTCAGCAGCAAGTTATTCAACAGCTAATAGAGCAGAACACTTATCCACACCAGCCTTCCTACCCACTACCACCACACACACCACACACACACACACACCAGCCTTCCTACCCACTACCACCACACACACCACACACACAGCCAGGACTGGATAGGCAATGTTCCCTTCCACCGAGTTCCTTCAGCCACTGCACAACTTATATTAGCATGTACCCAGGACTACCCCATCTCTTCCTTAAAACTGATAACCAAATCAAACACACATCACCTCACTTACCTAAATCACTAGATGTGTAAGCCTCTTTTCATCCAAAAACGTTTACATCTGCTCAGCTGGCACTGCTTCTCACCCATCCACTCTATCTGCAGTATCAGCAGAAAACTTAGCTACATCCTCAACATTCTCTCCCAATATTCTACCCACCTCCTTACCCTGTTCAAAACCTAGGTCTTCCCTAGACAGTCTCCCAGTAACACTTTAAAAAACAAAAACCTACATGGTAAGTCCACATATTACCACATACTCCTGGGATTCAGGGTCAGTAGAGGTAGATTTACTATGAAGCTCATGAAACTGAAGTGTCAGGTCCCTAACTTCTATGAGCTCCTTTTAAGGTTTTAGGAGGTACACTAGCCATGTGTTCAACTGTTTTGAGAATTTCACAGCTAATTTAACCACAATCAGAACATTCTTTCCTATCCAGCTCCCACTGTCACATTTTCCCCCATTTGACTTCATAGCAATCAACTGTGAGGCACTTAAAATTGATCACTTCTTGCTTGGCTTCTAGTAAGCCGTTTTCTTGGTTCTTTAATCTGCTGAATCCTCATCTTCCTACCTATTCCTGAAACAACTCAGAACAGTCTTCTCAAAGTATTATTTAATCTCGACTTTAGGGCCTAGAACTCATCCAGTCACAGGATCCCCAAAAAGCAGATACTATTCATACTCTGAGGTCTAGTTGGATCTCCAGTCCCCTGTGGATTCCAGAGGCCTACTTCAGACCTCCACATGTAAGTCTAGTAAGCATTTTGAATTTACCACACCCCGAATGGCACTTTTCTTCTTCTCCAAGCCAAGTTTTCAGTCCTAGCTCAACAGTACTGTACCCTTCCAATTGCTCAGGCCCAAACCCTGTCATCCTTTACCTCCCACGTGCAATCCTTAAACTGCCTTTTCTTCAGAAGTCACTGTGACTACCCCAACTACTTTTATCCTAGTCCAAGCCAAGATTATTTGCCTAAAATATTCTAACAGACTTATTTCACCATCTCTATCCTTGCGCCAGAGATCTACTGTTAATAAGACCCATTTTACTTTTAATCACTGCCCCCTTCCACATACAAATACAGAAATTTACAAGCTTTTCTGTGAATTATCCCAAAAGCTAAGACTGCCACCCCTAGACAAATGCTCTGAGTAGGTTTTAGTGATAGCCTTCTTTCTCAAAATCAATTTTCAAGTTTTACTTTCACTGCCCCCAGCTCACCATAGCAAGCCAACTACTCAAAAGACAATTTATCTCAAGTTATATATGCTGGATGCTGCTATATAGAGGCCACTAACATATACGGTTTTTTGAAGCATAAAAATAAACCTGGCCAGAGTTCTGTATGAATACTTTTATGTAACTGACGGAAAATAAGCCACATATTTTGAAGACAAATCCATTGAGAAAATAACAGCAAATAAAAAAAAGATTTCTATAATCACTGACTCTTCCGTTCACATTAAATCACTCATAATTGAAATTTTTATTTTATATACAAGGAATTAGCATTGTTTCTGCATAGGGTAGATGTGCTGGACGATCCATTCAAGGACGTTCACTTAGTCCAACTGAAATAAAAAAAGGCAGACAAGAAACTTATTAATTCAAAACGCTTTAAATATCCACTTCATTCTCAGAAAAAAAAAGGCTTATTATAGAACAAGGTTTAAATTGGAAATCAGACCCAAACTAGCTATCCAGATTTAAATAGCTTAAATATTTACTTAATATCTACTACAAGCTGCTCCACAAATCTCAACTATTTTAGACAGTGAATTTCCCACTTCTACCCTCAAAGAAATTTTCTACTTAGAAAAATACTGCTATATAAAATGATCTTTATTAAAAGCCCAGGATGGTCTTTAAGTAGGTATTACACAGCTAATATTTTGGTACTCTAACGTCTGCCAGACCCTATTCTAGGAGCCATTCATAAATTAATTCATTTAACCTTAACCTCTGAGAAATAGGACACTAAACTAGTGGGCCTGAGTCCATTCTCTCATCTGCGATGTACTACCTCCCACTGAGTTACTGAACTTACACATTGTAACACTAAACGTGTACTTGTTAAACATTTAGTCCAAGCCAAAAATTTAAGCTTAAAAATATTTCACCTGTCACAGAAATCTCACACTAACCATTTATATCCACCGTAACACTTCAACATAAGGACATCTACATTTAACAAGTAGGTTCTACTCAATATTGCCGTCTTCTAAGTACAAAGACCAGTGACTGTATCTCCAAGAGCCAGTAAGCAGTTAGTTTCCATCGTTAAAAAAAAAAGACAAAACCTGCAGCATTTAAGTGACTTTTAGGAGCCAGGAAAGCTTCATAGACACATTAATTTTTGCAACAATGGTGCATTTTTTAAAAGGCAAAAACTTACCATCGAATGACTTGACCAAAGTCATAGGACTATTAAACGGCAAACCTCTCTGAATCCTAAAAGTCTACCTGACCCCAAACCTCAAGCTCATTTCACTGTATGAGGCTATTGAACATTTCGGGGCAGTGGTCAACGCACGTATTTTGCTGAAAAATAGACGTATACGACTAGAGATCTAATATTTAACTGTAGTGGTTTCTGCGAAGTGAATAATTTCACCCAACATTATACATGGCACCTAAAACTGGCAAAGATGGGTAAAAGGGGATTAGAAAGACCGATCACTTTTAAGGCGTTCACCTCTTGCCGCTACATTCTACTAACCTGATTGCAAAAACTCGACAATGTCATCCACTACGTGGGAATAGCACTGCTGACTAAAATGGGGGAAACGGCGTGGGTCAAACGGTCACCCCACGGAACTACTTGCTCCTTGTGCCCCACGGGAACCGGAGAGCATGGCGTCCGCCAACACGTACCTTGATGAAGCCGATATCCTTCGCGTACTGGCGGAAACACTGGCGGCACATATTGAGGCCGTATTTCCGGATCAGACCGTGCCGGTTTGAGCAGACGCGGCTACAAGGAGAGACACGGCGTTACGGCAGGCTGCAGAAATTACAACGATTCGGCACTTGGGAGACCGCCACCCGCACTACCAGCCTTGGCGGACCCATCAGAGGCCTGTAATGGCGGCAGCCACAGCTCCGATTTCCTCTCCCCCATCGCGCTGCCTGCCGGCTCCTCTACATTTCAAGCAGCGTCACACCCCAAAGCAACCCTTCCCTAAAGCCACATTATTTCTCACCAAGAGCGAGAACCCTGGCCGAATTTTCTAGGGTGGCTCCAGTACAGCTGCTGGTGACCCATCTTGCTTCCTCGGATGCAACGAGGCAAAAGGAAAGAGGTAGCGCACGCATGCGCTCTTCAAATTTTGGGGAGACATCTTACCCAGAAGGCAGTGCTGACAAGCGACGCGTGCGCAGTGTGGACACGCTGTTCCGCCTGAGAGAAGAGGAAGCTAGGAAATTTTCTAGGCGGGCATAGCTGATGACGTCACCACACTTCAGGCTCTAGTCTCGTTTTGCGCCACCCCCGGTCGCCGGGCGTGGTGGCGCGCGCCTGTAGTCCCAGCTACTCGGGAGGCTGAGGCAGGAGGATCGCTTGAGCCCAGGAGTTCTGGGCTGTAGTGCGCTATGCCGATCGGGTGTCCGCACTAAGTTCGGCATCAATATGGTGACCTCCCGGGAGCGGGGGACCACCAGGTTGCCTAAGGAGGGGTGAACCGGCCCAGGTCGGAAACGGAGCAGGTCAAAACTCCCGTGCTGATCAGTAGTGGGATCGCGCCTGTGAATAGCCACTGCACTCCAGCCTGGGCAACATAGCGAGACCCCGTCTCTTTTGAGCACCCAGAAATGAATTTTGAGCCCTCAAGAAACAATGACCTCACTATTCTACCGTCTATTCTTCATCACCTGAACCTTCTACGTTCTTTTAATTAAAATTTTACACTTAGAAAAAGCATTTTTGCCTTAACTCAGCACTGACACCTACTGGGATAAAATTACAAAATAACTTAAAATCAACTGTAATAATTAGGAGCCAACGATAGGAGTTCCTATTTTGTTAAAATACGTTTTCAACATTTTTTTCTAACGCACTGCTAGTCGAAATAAACCTACACCATTCCAAAATGACACGAGACAGTGTGTTTAATATTTAAATGCAGTTAGTTGAGTTTAAAGTAAGAAACAAGTAAATATGCATTGAGTGATGCTTAGACCTGATGATTTGGTGACAAATCAAATTAAATACACAAATGCCATCTAATAATGTACTGAAAAATGTCTAAACTCCACATGGTCATTTATAATGTTTCTAGATAAACCCAAAATTGTACATTGCTCTGACACCAAAGCTTTAACCAGATCTATAAAATGTATCACAATCTGCAAAAATGCAGGAAGCTTTTATACATGAATTCTTACATTAGGACTGAAGCACCACAGCTTTTGGAGGTATGTTATTTCAGGATTCTGGTAGGATGCCCCTTCCAATCTAAATTAGGCTCTTTGTTTCATGATGAAGGAAGGAGTCAAGTCAGAGATTGAAGTTGATCCTACCCTCAAAACAAATGTAGTGAGGAAAATAGGATTACCTCAGAGCCCTTCCTTCCAGTTTCAACTTTTGTGTCTCAATGCTATGTCGACAACTAAGCAAGACATTCTGTATTCAGCGATGGATATGCTCATAGAATAGGAGAGGAGGAAAGAGAGAGATTAATTCCTGCTTGAGGTCCATTTGTGGGGCCCTTTGAAGTAGACCTTAAGTGAAGAGTATTTATACAGGCAGCGCTTAATGGAAGGGAATGCTCAAGGAGAGGAAGAGTTTGAGCCAAAGAATGGAGCTGGAAAAAGCTTGAAGAAGGTAATCAACCTAGTGTAATAGTTAGATGAGGTCATTAGAGCAGTATAAAGCAGCCAGATGATGAAAAGAATTTTTTAATGTTTTTCTAAACCAAGACCTTTTGACATCAGCCTGAAAATTCTAGAACATCTTTGAAAATTTTCAAGCAGAGGATAAAATTTGGACCTGTTCAAAGAAATGCTACTGTGGTCAGTGAAGAGATTAAGAGGAGGATACCCCAAAGGCCTAAGGATTGATAATACTGAAAGGAATTTTAACTTAAACCCTGACTACGGAAGTCCCAATGTCAAGCTTCTACAGTTTGCCTGGAATTTCTATCAGTC